TCAGTTCTAGATATCATTTCTTTTTTTTTTTAAATAAATTTATTTATTTTATTTTTGGCTGCATTGGGTCTTCATTGCTGTGTGTGGGCTTTCTCTAGTGGTGGCGAAAGGGGGCTACTCTTCATTGCAGAGCATGGACTCAAGATGTGCGGGCTTCAGTAGCTGTGGAGCGCAGGCTTCAGTAGCTGTGGCAGGCGGGCTTAGTTCCTCCACGGCATGTGGGATCTTCCCGGACCAGGGCTCGAACCCATGTGCCCTGCATTGGCAGGAGGATTCTTAACCACTGCGCCACCAAGGAAGCCCTAGATATCGTTTCAATGGTTGGTTATGTTTTACCTTATATTTCACCAACATTTTGCCTTTTTGTGGCTTCCAGACTTTTACCCGTGGGTCTTTGCATTGCCCTCTAGTGCTACATAATGAGAAAATCCAATCTTAAAGGACTGAACACAAGTCTTTTCATTTCACTATGCCTCTTACCATCATGGTTCTCCTCTTCTGAACGTACTGGCTTGTCAATGTCAATTTTAAAATGTGTTCCTGGAGCTAAAAATGATATTCTGTATGTGGTCATTGCTTCTCTTGATCAGGAGAACATAACCCAGAAGTGATTAAGCTTTGAATCTAGTGCTTCATCCTCTTCCTCCTCCCCCATCCCCAAGTCATCTCCACTTAGGCCAGAGTAGCCACTTCTGGTTTTGGCAAGATAAACACAGATGTGGAGGTTGTATCTTCTCCTGGTCTTAATTTCATCATCTGTTGCTCTGGGTTATCTAATTTGTGTGCATAGTTATTAAACATTCTGGCTGTGAATTTTTAATTTTTTTTTTCTTGAGAGCAACAATGGGTACTCTTATGCAAAGCAGGGCAGTGCATAAACTAAATGACCATTTTTGCTCTAAATTTTGAACGTCAAACCCTCTCAAATGTTTGTGACAGAAGCAGTAAAATGTGGTTAAACTAATAGGAAAGAATTCCTTACATAGTACAATAACCCTTCTGAACCCTTAGGTTGTATAACAGTTTAGAAGTTGAGAGTTTGACATCGCTTCTCTAACTTGAAAAAAAAAGAATTTCCTTTAACTACGTATTCTAGTAAATGTTAATTTAATTGTATATAGGCTCTCTACCAACTTGAATCTATTGCAGAAAAATTTGTATTTTCCGGGCTTCCCTGGTGGCGCAGTGGTTGAGAATCTGCCTGCCAATGCAGACGACACAGGTTCGAGCCCTGGTCTGGGAAGATCCCACATGCCATGGAGCAACTGGGCCCGTGAGCCACAATTACTGAGCCTGCGCGTCTGGAGCCTGTGCTCCGCAACAACAGAGGCCGCGATAGTGAGAGGCCTGCGCACCGCGATGAAGAGTGACCCCCACTTGCCACGACTAGAGAAAGCCCATGCACAGAAATGAAGACCCAACACAGCCATAAATAAATAAATAAATAAATACATTGTGTATTATTTAAAAAAAAAAAAAAAAAAATTTGTATTTTCCTATATTCTGGAGGTAGTTGGACGCAGAGAACACAATTATATGAATGTTATTGTAAAACATAATTTGACTGTGTGTTAGTTTAATTGGAAATTTGAAAACATTATCTATTTTACCAACTTTTAAAAAAGTCTCCATGTTTTTCACAAAGCTATTAAGAATTAACTAAACTTTACTGTCATCAAAATTACCAAAAAGTATTTTTACATAGTGGTATATTCTGTCAAATAGATGATGAAATTGGTAGTCGGAAGTTCATATGAACCTCAGAAGGGGAAGCTAACTATGGCATTTGTCTAGGAATAACTGGGCCTCTGAAAAGAAGGCAGAAGGCTATTTATAACTCTAAACCTTAGCACTGTTTGAGTCAGATCCAGTCTGGGGCCTGATCTAACCTACCCAATGTAGCAGGGGCCAAACCAGAACAGGGGTCTAGTACAGGTCCCTCCCAACCTCTGAATTAACACCAGGCTGACTATTAGTCTCACGCAGCAAAAGGAAGTATTTAACATGCCTCTGGAGTCAGAGATCTGAGTGTGAATCCTAGCTACACCATAAATAGCTGTGTGAATTCAGGCAAATTTTGAACCTCTCTAAACCTCAGCTTCCTATTCCATAAATAGCAATAATAAAAGTATCTATCTCATTTTGCTGTCCTGAGGATTAAATGGTCATGTTACATTTGACATATAATGTCTTCTGAATAAATATCAGTGGTTATTACCATTATCATTATAATTATTAATTTATCATAGCTAGAATCAAAGATATTGTTTCCCTAAAGTCCTTTGGGGTTCAACTTTGTTCTAATTTTAGTTCATCTGTTGCTCTGTACCTGAAACACAATTCCATATCTAACATTACTTCCTTTCTTCTGTCAGATGAAGTAAGCCAGCTTGGAATATGCACTGAAAATCTATGTGAGGAACTCAGTAAGGTTTACAGATATGCCGTGCATTATAGTTGCGTAAGCACCACAAGAAACATGAACTCTATCCTCAGACCTCCCCCAATTATCAGAGACCACGAGAGAGTTGGATAATCTCCATGACCTTCAGTTTTATAAAAATTGAGGTGAGGACAGTGGACTTAAGCTTTCTAAGGGGCTACTCCAGCTCTGTCTTAAGTACTACAAGGTGTCTGCTTGCTTTGTGATCAATGGATGAGAAGAATAATCAGTATATGTCTAAGGCTACTGATGCAGTGCTTACATTTCAATAATGTATCCAAAAGTGGCAGCAAAAGAAATATAACAGATGAGAGGAAAGAATATTCCAGGTTGATGGAACAACTTGTACCAAGGCTCTGCACAAAAGTACACCTCTTATAAAAGACTGAAAGAAGGCTATCGTAGCTGGCGCACAAAAAGTAAGAATCATGAAGACAAAATGAAAGGTGTGTAGTAGAGCAGCATGCAAGAAACTTTGGATGAACACAGAGAATGACTGTGGTACCAACCTTAAAAGGTAAGCTCATCTGAGTTGTCAGTCTACTTATCATTTGAGAAATATGATTAATAAGTCATTCCACAAAAGGAAAAAAGTATATAACTAATGCGATGTTCAGATGATATATATCCTATGAACTGTTAAAGCCAGGGAGTAGGAAATGCCCATCACCTAGGAACTAGATGGCGTTTTTACATTTTTAATTCATTACTAATTCAATGATTTGTTTTTAGAGGTGACAACAAGAGGTCTTCCAAGCACCCTTTAAACTCTCCATGGGGAGAAGACAGAAACATAAGTTCTATTCCATAATCTGGAATTTTCCTGTAAAAACATTTATGAATCAAGTGCGAAGGTCTACAGAGCATAATCCACAGGCAAGTGAAAAATGTTTTGGCCAAGTGACCTGAATCAGCTGGCAGTTCACGCCCCATGCAGAGGTAGGGAACATATTCACAGGTATCTTAATAACTTGTGCAGGGCTAAGTGAGACATTTTTATAGATAGCTGTCTTTAAGACCATCTAAAGGTCACATGATGCAGCATATCTAAGGAATAAGAAAAAATGCTATTTATATTTAGTTAGCAAATTCTGACCTAAAATTGGTAAAGAGGAAACCTGATATCCTCTTAGAGAAATGAAAAAACACAAACTAGATTTAAGGGAGCTGGCTTCTAATCTTGGCAATGCTGTGGTTTTGAGCAAGTCTCCAAATATAAGAGTTACAGTTTCTATTTTTGCAAAATGGAGATAATAATGCTAACTTAATTGAATTCTGTGAGGTTTAAATAAGTACACACACATAAAGTCCTGAGCAAAATACCTGATACATAGAAATCTCTCTGTAATTATTTCTATTAATTTGGGATACTAGACTAAATTTCTTAGTGGAAGATGCAAGTAAGACAATTCTCATTGTAAGTAGTGACTGAAAATCTTAAACTCTGAAATGACCATGTGCCCATACTAATGTCTACCCAAAGAGCCAAAACCACACATTCTCTTTTTTCAGTTATCTGATTAAAAACAAACCAGCTCAGCATTAGACTTGGAAGCTGTGGAGAGCACCACCTGTCTGATTTGCTTACAGCTGTCAGAAGCAAATTTTAGATCCACCTCCAAAATTTTTACCCCAGCTAGAACTGGATTGTGCCTGTATTCAAAACTCTTTAGTTGTCTTAAAGAGAGCAAAATATATATATATATAATTATATATGTACATATATTTTGCATATATTATATTTGGGCGAAATGATTGCTATCATGATCGAATAATAAAAATGTTTTAAGGTGTGGCACATACCTTTTCAGAATAAGCTTTAAAACAGAAAAGCATACAGCTTTTCAGTATAAGCATGAAAACAGAAAATATTTAATATAGATTCATCATGTAGAGGTAAAAGACATGAGTGCATGAAAAGAATCAGAATCAAAAGCTTAATTACTCTATTTTTAAAACCATACTGATTTAAAGTGATTTCGTGCAATTCCAAACCTTGTCTCTGAATACCCACCAACATACATACAAAATTTTTAGGTATATAAATCTTATATGTGTGTGTGCATATTTATATACTCGAGTTAGAAAGGAAAACAAATTTAAGATCTCCAATTTGATATGTCATAAGCAAAATGCTCAAAATCAGTTCTCTAAGTTTCAACATTAAATGCAACATTTTAAGTTCATCGTGGTCTCCAGCCTTGCATGCAAACCTTGTAATTTTTGCTAGGTAAGATATCAGCCCTAACGTTGCATGACCATAGCTATTTATAGAGGTATGGGTGACAACTGTTAACTAGTGGGGCCTTTGGCACCGCAAATAGCAGTTTCCACATGCAAAATTTCAGAGAAACTTCTTTTCACTCCCCAACACACAAATCTGCCAGCCTCTCAGCTCCCAAACCCACTTCTTTGATCCCATATAGAATCATCCATCAAGATAACTATCTAAAAGCAACATTTTAAGAGGACACATTGACCATCAATGGGATTGTCAATTTCCACCTTTTTCTTTTTTGTTTTCCTAGTTGATACTATTGGAAAATGCTAGCAATACCTTCAGCCGTGATCTCAGTCATGGTGGTTGGAGAAAGGAAAAGGCAGGCAAAAATTCCGGTCAAGTGGCCCTTTGCAGAATAATTTAGGTTTGGAGAACTCTGATAGGGGGCTCTGTGTGAGAGCGTGAGGGCTCTTCCTTTTCCTGGCTGTTTCTGCTGCTCCTTTGTTGTCCTGTTGAACTTTGTCTCTTCTCTGCAGAGTTCTCCCCCCCTGGAAACAACCTGAGCCCTTTCCAAGCAGCACTTGTGGCTCAGGCAGAAGTATCAGCTTCGAACAAAAATAGCTTCATCTCCCTAGGACTCTTCAGCACTTTTTTTTTTTGGCACTCTAAGGGAAACACACACCAGCTCTCCAGCCCCAAAGAGAGATAGGCCAAGAAAAGGCAAAGGAACCAGAAAGTACCGTCTAAGCCCCTACAGTTTCCCTAAGATAATTACAGATTTGGGGGTCTATGTCAGAAAACATGAAATAAAGAGTTGAAAGTAATCTTATCCGTGATAGCTCAGATTTATTCTTAGTGCCCTTAAAGCTCAGAACATTCCTCATCCCCTTATTTGGTGTGGGGAGGATCCTGTAATGCCTACCCAAGGCAAAGGGGAGGGTAGTCTTGTCATCTTCTCCAAGTTGATTCCCTATTGGTCTAAATCCATTTGGCAAGTGCAGTTATTTATATTGGGCTACACTTAAAGTGGCATCTATTAAATCCTAAGGCTTTCCTGTAGGAGATTAAGATTATCCAAACACTGGCTAACAAGAAATATGTAATGTGAAGTTATATTGACACTTGAGAACTGATGAATTACTAGATTCTTCATTCTTTTTAATACTTTCATGAAAACTAAGTACCTGAATTTACCTATGAAGTAAAAGAAAGGGAAGGTGGCATAAAGTTTGGAAGCCTACAGCTCATATTTTAGTAAAAGATTTCAACTTTTCTCTATTTCAACTTCAAAAGAATAAAATAAAAAGGATCATAGCACTAACAATTAGCCAAATTGGCTGATTAGCATTTCACCTTCCCACTACTAGACAGGTGTTAATGAGCAGAGATATATTCAATAGCTGGCAGTTAGAAGGAGGAGTATCAAAGGGCATTGATAATCACACACTCTAGCCAATCTGTGAATAATCAGGGGTTGACTACACTTACCTTTTATTTTACTCTCATATTCAACCTAACAAATGTTTGTGGTTTAAACTTTTAGCCTTAACTTGTTGGCTTTGATTGTCAGAACCTCTTGAATTTGCATGGTACTTCAGAGATCAGAAAACAAAGTCACACATGTTGTTTTAATATTTGAGACTCAGAAGAGTGCTACAACAGTTATTTCCTTTGCCTCCATGTTGGCAGCTCTGTATTTACTGCCACAATTCCTACAATAGGAAGTGCTCATATACCAGCTGAATAAATGGGTTTGGAAGTAAGCAATCTTAATTCACAAAAGAGGAAATAATTCCAGGTAACTCTCATGATTTATACAAGATTCTACACCTAGGGCTGGGCTTGGGGCTTTTGACTACAAGTCTGATATCTTTCCAGAGAAGTGAGACTTTGTTGCAGACAATGCCATTTGTAGGCAAAGGGAGGACGACAAAAAATTAGATCCACCAATGGATGGAAAGATGCGAACTCCTAGCAGCAACCCCCTGGAGCCCTGGGTTCGTGCCTACTTTTTAAGGTGGGGAAGAGGAGCCCCCAAAAGTGGAGCTCTCCTCACTTTGCCCCCAAAGGCATCTCCATTCAATATCACCACAGTGCTTCCAATTTGAAGAAAACATTGTGCTTTGAATCTCCATTTGGCAGTCACTTTCATAGTCTTTCACTGTAGTTAATTGATGAAATAGTAATTCTTTTCGTAACTCATTAAGAACTTACATTAAAAAGTTGAAACAAGACTAGAGAGCAAGACCAGTGATTGATGTTACTCTTAAATTCCCAATCACTAATTTCATGTCATACAGACTAGGAAAACGAAGAGTAAAAATATTCTAGCTAAACATGTTTATAGGATAACAAGTTTTAACCCATTTATTGGATGAGTTTATGAATTTTCTTAGATATTAAGAAATAAGTATATTTCTCATTTTGAAAAGTTACTAGAACTCCTTCAAATTATTTGAAACCCAACTCATAAAATGTCTTTGCATTTCAAATGAAACTCTGAGAAACTTTCCAAAGTGAAGCAACTGACATTCTTCTAAGGCTACGCAACGCATTCTTCATGACAAACAACAAAATATTACAAATAATACATTTGTCTTTCTTCATTTTTTTGGTCGTCTTCATTTTAAACAGGTATTCACTTTAAAGGAACACCAGTTCACTGGAATCTTTCAACATGACCTAAAAGTGGTGGTTCTCTCTTCTCAGTGATAGCTTCTGATGTACTTTCACATTTTCCATTGCTGTAGGATCAGTACAGATAGGCTTATCCTGGCTTTGCATATAGGGACACTTGTTCCTGTATGCATTATTAACTGGCCTGGTCTTTATAAGTCAATGGCAAACCATGAAAGCTTGTTCTCCTAGAAAATGTTTCATTTTGTCCAAGCTGCTTGTCCAACCTGATTATACTGATAATTATGCCTTGTGATTTTCACTAGATATTCTAAATATTCAAGTTAGCAGCCAAAAACATTCATTCTTAGAGCATTAAAAAAAAAAATCTGGCTGCTCTGTCAACTATTATCATAAACTAACAATCAGTAAGACATATTATTTGACTATGAACAAGATATTTTCATCCAAACTGAATTTCAGAATGTAAAAAGATTCAGGAGGCAAGGAGAGAAGTTTTTTGATGATTTTTGGTTTCCACCAAAAAAAATCATAAAACAAAAATTAAAAAAATTTTAATTATTTTAAGACCATACTACATTGTTTTGTTCAGTGCCAATTTGTGTTTTTTATAGAGCAGTGAGGAGAGATATAAATAGAGGTAAATAGCTATTTATCATCAGTCACCTCTTTTTCAAGGACTAGGGATTTTTGAAAGAAAGTGAAGTTTTAGGGTTACTTCTCAAGGTCTTCTGTTTATTAATTTACAGACATGAACAGCTTATACTTGAAAAGCCTATACCTAAACTGGTGTTAAACAGAAATAAAACAGTAAGAAATGTGTACAATATTATATGTTTAAACTGAGTGGGAGTAAATTTATGGGTATTTAATTAGGATAGAAAGTGCTCATTCCTTGGATCTTAAAATAGTGATAGGTGTAACTTTTATGTGTGTCTAAGTTTTCAGGTTCATTTTTTTTTTTTTTTTTTTTTTTTT